ATAATTGCGTAATCTATTTTGATGTCGTCTTTTGAGATAGTGAAATTTCATATAATATTGCAATAATTTTGATACTTCATGCAGAGAAAAAATATACAATTTGTCTTAGAGTAAGAAATACTATAATTTATTTATTTTAAAATAAAAAATTATACCAAATAAATTTTTTTTTTTAATTTCAAACAAATTTTTGTTGATAAAATAAATAAATGATGGATATTTTGCTCTGTGACAAATATATTTTTATTTCATTCAATTAAATTATATTTGTGGTTTGAATAAAAAATTTCTCTCTCGGTGTTGGAATTTAAAAAGGGACGTCCTTGAAATAAATTCTTAAATGTCAACGATTAATAATTTTTTTGTCTTTTTAGCTTTATACTTAATTTGAGCATACCAAAGTAAACACGTGTCGAAATAGTTTTGCAAAATAATATATATATAACGAGTTCATTGACTTTTATATGTAAACATTGTCTAAATATCAACGATATAAACAGTATATTAAAAAAAATATTTTTACCTAAATTTAAATAATTTATTTCTTTCAAAAAAATATTTATTCTATTTTTTTTTCTCAAATAGGTTTGAGAATTATAAATTTATATGTTTTTTAGTTAAACAAATATATATATAGGAGACTAGGAACAAGTTCCGTTGTAATTTTATACTTTCTCTTATATACAGTGCACTAGGAATATAACGTAATAATATATTGTGCAATAAATCAGAGATAGATTTAGTTTCGATTACAGGTGTGAAATTATTTCAAATTTATTATTATGTCTTATTTATTCAATCGCGTGTTTATCGAGTTTTTTTTTTATTAAACAATTTTTGGAAATATAAGTTTTTTAATAAAATATTAATAAAATGAAAAAATTTAAAAATATCTTTCTATATTAATTAAAATTGAGAAAAAATTAATTTTTAACGTAATTTCATTATCGATTGAGGCTAATACCCTCTTAACAAAAAAAAAAAAAAAAATTGACTCAATAATTATGTTCTATAATCTACTTTCAATCAGGAAAACTATCGATAAAATTACATGGTTTTCAACAAACTTGTACAAGTGAAAAAAAGTACCGTTTTTTTTTTTTTGCATATTAGGCTGTAACGTGAAACGCAATCGCAGATATCGGTCGCACTTCAATATTGGGACAAGTTTTCCGTAAACCGGTTAGAGGAGAAAACGAAAAAAAATATATAAGTTGATCGTCAAAGATGCGTAAGTCCTTTTTTGGCGTTCTCGAGATCAACGCGAGCTGAATTCAGGTTTGTCCGGTTTATCGAGACAGGATTTTTTTAAAGGTTGCCCTGTTCATCCGGTTTTCCAATAACACGCACAGTTGATTTAGTTTTACTGTGGCGCGAGTTCTCCATTCGTTGTATTTCGAGCGGTATTTCAAGAGAGAAAAGGAGAACAAGAATCGACAAGAATTTATGTATAGGAATTCTTTTTAAAAATATCCTTTCAATATATTTACTGATGATTATAATCTTTTTCGATTATTTTTCTTAATTTTCAACAATATTATTCTATTTTTTTTTTTTTTTTTTTTTTTAATTTATTTTTATTATTGTTCGTTTCAATTGACCCTGATCCTTTGAATATTGTTCTGTCCGTCATTAAGAAAAATTTGCATTACATACTTTATAATACATCGTGTAGTTTACGCATCTATTGTCTGTAATCGTCATGCCATAAAATTTCTTAATTATTTTCCTGTCAATGTTAGTAGATTTTTTCGATTAAAGAAGATTTTCTAAGAAAAGATATTAGAAACGTCATTTATCCTTCAGTATTTATAGTTCTCAAGCTGTTTAGGATTTATTTGGCGAGCTGATTTATATCTCGAGGATTCTTTTCCATTTATTTCTTTTTTCTTCTATTTGTTAAATATCTCTCGTTTTATTTCTTATCACATTGACCTGAAAATAAAATTGGATAGTTTTATCCGATTTATACATAAATACCTAATATTATACATATAGATTCATTTCTTCAATATATATTTCTTTGACATTATTATTAAAATTTCATGATTATTTTTATAAAAAGAAATAAGTTTTAATAATGAATAATATTCAAATTTCATTTAATTGAGAGAGTCATTATTTAATAAAAATGAATCACTTTACATGCTCTCTAATTTATATTCAAATGATAAATCTATTCATTGTTATTTTACTAGATTCATGAACACTTAATTTAATTATTATTCGATTTCAATAGATGCTATTATGTTTTTTATCATTATATTATAATGAGTATGGCATTTTTTTTTATTTGTTTGAGTAAAATATTCTAATCAATTGCTTTCTTTTTTGTTAGTATATAATGATTTTTTTAAACTCTATAATTCAAATTAGTAGAAATTTTCACTAACTTTTAATAAAATATTACTATTTGATTTAATAATATTTTTTACTTTTTTTTTTTTAACTAATGTTTGAGTGAAAAATGACTCAAATTTAGTAGAATTTAAATTAGTGAAATTATGTGACTATAAATTAATGGTAGAATGGTATTTAAAATTAAAAAAATCTTTGAGTGATGTTTATATTAGAACAAACAAAGCGATATTGATTATAAAAAAAAAAAAAAATTGTAGAGATTAAAAGGAGTTGTTAATTTTCTGGAAATATGTGTTACAAGCGAACGCTTATTTTTTCTCATACATATATAATGATAAAAATTTAATTATATACAATAATGAAAGACTAATTTTTCTGGATGACTTGCTGACTCGCGTGTCTTTTTGTTTTTTATTCTCTCTTTCTCTATCTCTCTTTTCCGAGAAAAACTCATATGTGAATGATGAAGTGCGCATAATTATAATTATGAATATAAAATACAAGAGCGCAAATCTAACGCACGCTTACATTTTAAGGTCCGCCAACCGAAGCGAGGAAAATAGAGATAAACGCACACGCGTTGCACTTATAACAGTATAAATAACTTGCGCAAGCGTTAATGAATGCTTATCTGTATATAAGAGTCGTTAAAAAGTCACGATATGTGCACAAACTCGTCGCATGCATTCGTCCACGTTATACACATATATATATATATATATATACACGTGTATGTGTGTGGTGGTCCGGAAAAGAAATCCCATTAGGAGGCAATGCCTTTTTATTCAGAGTCTCACACTCCCCGACTCCATAGAATTTAATTAACGAGCCAGCACGAAACTTGTGCCATTCATCTCGTCGCAAAATTTGTTTTTCAAAAGAAATACATTCACACACACACACACAGACTTCGAGAGGCTCAATGTTTTTCCCCATTCTGAAAAATATCCTCAAGAGAGAGAGAGAGAGAGAGAGAAATTGAAAAATATACGACGCTAAAGTGCCTTTGAATAAACATTTTAAAGTTCACGATTTTTATCGGATTTGAAAAAAAGGGGAAAAAAAAGAAAACATTTATTTGAATAGAAAAATTTTTTATTTACTTTTCAATTTTATTATTAATAATATTAAGTAAATATTTATTTGATATAATAGTGGAGTAATCGATTATTTGAATGAAATAAATTTTTTCAGCGTAACAAAATTATTTGATATATAGTATTTGTAATAATATTATCATCTTGAAAATACTAAATTTTAATTTCAATTAAAGATAATTTCATTATAAAATTTTATTTTAAATCACTATATGATGATGATGATTATTATTATATTTCCACTTGAATTTAATGAATCTGCATAATATAATGAAATTTCTGAAAATGTAAAAGTTTCATTTGTGCGAGATTTAAAGGGGGTATATTAAATTAAAATCTACCATCGTTAAAAGTTTTGTGACGAGAGTTATTCTAAAGAATAAGTTTACGAAGAAATCCCACAGAAAGTATATTATATGAGGGGGGAAACGTCCAAAACTCATTGAGAAGGAAAAGTTCAACTTAAAGTTTTCCATTGAGTTTTCTTCTCTCTCTCTCTTTCTTTTTTCTCTTTGGTTTCGGACACCTTGTGCATAACAGAATAAGGAATAGGCTATAGTATAGTGGTTTGTGTGGAGTAAAACGGATTTCACGTTTACAAGAGAATATATTTGAAATGCACGAGTTATCACACATATATATAGATATAATACCGAAACTGGTAACGTGTGAGGATGACACGAGCCACTTCCTCCAAAGTTTTTGCCCATAATGCTCCTCGCAAAGCAGAAGTTCAACGAAGTTAAACTCCCAACTCTCGCTGATGTTCAACACGAAAGTTTATTCTGACTTTATAACGTCTAGTCCGTTGAGTCTGCAAGGTTAACTCTCGACATATATAGCTTTTCGAGCACAAGAAACTTTCTAGGAAATTTGTGATCTGATGTATGTAGTAGTGATTCTCTGACTTCCTTTCGCCTCGATGAAAAAGCGAGTAGATAAAATAGATTTCTCGAATGTATTCATTTTTTAAACACTTATGTACAGTGCATTGTTTATTAATATAATAAATTAAATTTTTGGAAGCAAAAGAAAAAAAAAACCTAATTAAAGCTGTAATTACTTTAAATTTGTACTAATTTGAATTACCTGATAAATAAAAATAAAGGTACAAAATTACTTCACTTATCCTACTTCAGTTAATTAAGATACAATTACTTCTAATTGTCTTTTCTCAAAAACTGCCTTCATTGCCTTTAATTTATTTATACGAAAGTAGCTTCAATTACTATAATTTATCCGAAATTTATATTATTATCTTAAATTGAAGCTATATATATATATACAATATAAATATTATTATATTGTTATTCAATAATTTAAGAATAATATTCTCTCTAAATTTGAATAATTATAATTTAAATATTTATTATAATTGAAATAAAAATTTAGAGAGTATATTATTATAAAATTGAATAATATTAAAGAGTGATAAAATAAAGCAGGCTAATAAGTTTATGGAGTTTTTATTATAATGTGATTATAAGATAGGAGAAAAAGTGGAATTAGATAATTTCTAATGATGATTTTTATTAATTTCAGTGAGCGTCGCGAAGCGGAAGTACGAGAATTGGAGAAGAGGGAACGAGAACGAGAACGAGAAGCGAAAATGGAACGTGAAAGGCTAGAGAAACAAAGAGCAGCCGAGCAAGCTGTTCACAAACACTTTGAAGAATCCCTTAGGCTAGCACAGCAAAAGGTGAGTCAGGCTTACTGTGTACTTCCGATAGGGAATTATATATATATAGTATATATATATAATATACAAGTTTACCTCGCCTCTTCTCAAGTTCCGTTAACTTGGTTATATACCTCCGCAAATGGGTGCTCATTTCAAAACATTTTCTCTCTGACTTAAAACTTTAACTTCATTTTAATTACACACCTGAGAAATTTTTTTTCATTCTATTTATTTCTTTTCTTTACTCACGAGTAAAAGGAAAAGGTTTCTCTCTTTCTCTCAACTCATAACAAACCGCAATAATTATCAAGAGTTTTTTTTTTATTCACTTATTTTCTGTCAATTTTTTTTTGTTTTGTTTCTTTTTCTTTTAAGGAAGTACTAAATTTAGTCAATTTTACTAGTGAAATATAATTCTCTGAGGAATATTTATAATTTTCTGACGAAATTGTGATTTTTTTTTTATTAAATAGTAAAGGTATTAAATAATGTTTATTGTGCCATCTTGATCTTGCATTAAATTTAATTGAATAATGTGACATTTTAATTAATTCGCTTTCGTATAAAATTTAAAGTTTCATTCTGCAAAATTTATTCTTATCAGTTTTACAAACATTTCACGACGATCATTACTTTCGAATTCTTATCTCGGGTGAAAAGTTTTCAAGAGAGAAATTGCTCCCCAGAAACACGATGGTGACGTCTCGTCGGAGGCGATTCGATTAAACTTTACCAAGGGTTGATCGTCTCGTTGGAAGATATATTGTATCTTATACTGTATATATATATGTATATAGCAAAAGACCAAGATTTCCACAAGAAAGAACGTGTATTAGGGATATATATTTTTTTTTCCAAGAAAAAAATAAATGAATAAAATAGAAAGACAATAAAGAAAAATTGATTTGATGAGTTTTCATAGAAGTGTTAAGGATTTTTGGGCAAAAAAAATAGGGGCGAGGTGAAATAATCAATGCATTCCAGCACCTGCCTTTTATTTTCTAGAGAGAGAGAGAGACCGAATTCAAGTTAGGTGAGTTGATCTGTCAGCTCATCTAACCTGCCCTCACCTTTTTCCCTAAGTTTGTGTACCTCTATATATTTGTGTTTCTCACTGACACATATACACATGGACATACCATCATCCCATTCAATGTGCGTGCAACCTTTTCAATGTTTAGAGGCTTTCAAGTCCAGGCAGAATGGCCCTTCTTCTTCTTCTTTTCTCGGGCCTCCTTTTCCTGTGTCCCTACTGTAAAACCCGACAGTCTATTTCGAACTTTCGTCTCGTCGAGAGGTATACACAAAGTTTAATCTTTATGTGATCTTGAAGAAATTTTCTTCCTCCAACTGTGATTCTTATTACCATTTTCCTGACCTTGGATTTATAAAACACACACATTTTTCTGGTATGTTTCTTTTTTTTTTTTTTATTATAAAATTTTACTTTATTGTTTAAATATTTATTGTTCGATGAGTGAAAACTTCTTTTTGATGTGCTGCCTGAATAATTTCAAAATTAGTGAGTTTAGTGCGATCGTTTAATTTTAGATTTTAGACGTTTTCTTGCATTTAAAAATCTTTTGTTTCGATGAAATATAAAAATTTCTCCTTTGTTCCATAAAATATTTATGAAAGAATATTTTATTTTTAAATATTTTGGCAACGTTTAGTGAAAAATATTTTTTATTTTATTCTTCAATGTGCAGAAAATTACTTTATATTAATAAAAAAATAAATTTGCAGTTTATTGTTGTTTTCCTTTATAATATATAAATGGATTTTGAAATTTATTTTTTTAAAAAGTCTCTCACTTCCGATTATATATTAATGGTCAGTAATTTTCAGTGAAATGTTGTCGACAGTATTTTTTTCCTCTCTCTCTATATCTTTATCTTTTTTTTTTTTTTTTTAAATACGGTATGGATGTCATTATACCATTATCAAAGTTTTTTTTTGTCGTGCTTTATTTTCCTTGAAAAGTTGAAACTTTACAAATAGCTATAAATTTATGTTATCTTGAGAGTGCCAATTATAATAGTCAACACACGATGTGTCATTGAATATGCAAAAGCAGTTTCAATATCTAGTTTAGAGAAACCTTCCTTCTTGTATAAATGTTAAAGAACTCCCTTCCTGTATGAATTTAATAATGTTAACTTTTTTATACAATAAGTTAAAAGTCAAATTAATTTCAATTTAATGTGCCAAGACTTTGCAAAAGTTGCATTTAATGAAAGAAAAAAAAATCGACTTTAATATTTCAAACTGTATAACTTTTCCACTTTCGTAAGATGAAATTATATTTTTTGCAACAAGAGTTTCAAGAAAACTTTTTAATCGATATGAACAACTTTGCGGATTTTACGGAAAATCTATCTTTTATTAAATTTATTTCACGTTCAATTACATATATATATACAATAATTTTTCTGACAGTTGAGCAATTTTTTTTTCTATATCAAGATTAAATTCTTTACATTTAAAAACGATTATTTTCATTTAATTTTTTAATTAATAGTAAAATAAAAATTTTAATCACTCGAATGTATAATTTAAATTGATTTTTAACTTTAAATAGATAATTTATTGTTTTTTTTATTTTTGTTTCAATAAAAAAAAATTGAAATGATTTTCTATTAATTCATTGAAAGAGTCGTATTTTTGATGATTCAAATTTTGACGAGGTAATTAAATTTCCGTGAATTAAAATTTTGAAATATGTTCCCGATTGCTATAAACATGGTGTTTATACGAAAGTATAATAAAAGTTGTAATTATATATTGAAAGTCAAAAAAATATTTTTCGACAACAATATAATAAAAGAGAGATAGTCTTTTAATGGGCGTTTGGATCGTTAAATTTTCGTTTAGATAAGTGATATCTTCCAATGAAATATGTCGTTCGAGATAGTGACGTATGATTAAAGTCTGAGTTAATTAATTATGCAGTCAGTGCCAAATACACACAACAATGGACGCACATTTGCTCGGGGGATATATATAATAAAAAACTATATGTCAAGCACAAAATTAAATATAGTTTTAATATTATATATAAAATAGAATATAAATAGTTTAAATTAAAAATTATTTTAATATTTTTAAAACATTTTAAAGAGTTTTTTTTTAAATCTTTCAAAAAAGAACTAAATTTAACAAGTTTGCACTTTAAAGTGAGAAGAGACTTTTTAAAAACACTCTCAAAACAATTCTTTCAAGATTTTTGTGGCATGAAAAAGAAACCTCCCACCGGAGTGAAACTATATAAACTGTTTGGCAATGCGCCACTTTTTTTTATTTTATTTTTTTATTATTATCATTCTCACTCTTAGAGAAAAAGTATATTTACGATGTCTATATATGCTTGTGTGAAGAGACAAAGACTACTACATTGACGGAAATCTTGGTCGACTTTGAAGTAATCCACGAGTTTTCCAGTCCTCGACAAAACTCTCAACTACTATAGAAAAGAAAAAAAATGAGAGAGAGAGTGAGGGGGGGGGGGGAAAGACTGTAAATCCCTGAAAAGTTTGCAATTTCATGAGGACTTTACTGTTAGCGTCTCCCTCAGGGACGTTCTTTTTATGCCTTCATTCTTTTCTTTATTTACTTGGTCGCAAAGCAAAAAAGAATTCTTATCATCTCTCTTGATGGTATTTTAAAATGAATTTTTCACATTTCTTACGATTATAATTGCCGAAATAAATTATTATTTATATTATTCTTTGTTCACGTCATAAAATTATTTTCTATTGTTTTGTTTTGTTTTTGAAACCGATTATTATTTAAATATTTTTAAAGCTAACTATAACCATTAAAAAAAATCAAAGCATTTCAAGAATTAATTATCGTGTATATTTCGTTGATATTGAGTAAAAATGGAAAATGAATTTCAAGAACGATATATACATACATAATTGAATAACTTGAAGATTTTTTAATTACTTTAAATTTTTGTCCTAGGCTATATATTAGTAAAATTGATTTTGACAATATATACATTATTGGAAAGTCCTCAATCCTTGAACTTTAGTTTAAGAAAAACTTCTCCGCCCACTTTGTGTTGGCAGATTCCTTTCAGTCTTTTCAAGGCGGAAGTCGGTAATATGGCCTGGCATCTGTGTGTTGTATTTTAAAGCAGCTGGGTTCGAGGGTCTCTTAAAGATTTCTTTTTTTTTCCCAAATTTATTCTCAGTTCTATCGCTCTTTAATTCAGAGAATTATTATAAGCTTTTAATTTTGCAACGTGAACTATACTAGAAAATAAATTGATAATAAAAATTGTATTGTGATAATTAGAAATATATTAAATTGACGCTTATGTAATAGTTTGACTGTTATATTACAATTTGAGAAAACAGGTTTCAATGAAATTTTAATCAAGTTTTTAGTATGGAGAAATTTATCACATCAATTAAATGAAAATTATACGGGATTAGAAGTTGTTTTTGTTTTTAAATTGTAATATATATATATATATATATATATATATATATATATATATATATATATATATATATATATATCTATAATATTTCCTTGATAAATTCAAAGGAAATCTGAAATCTTTTTCTAGAAATACTTTTAAAGGCGATAAACTCGTTCCTATCTCGATACTCACGTTACTGATCTTGGAAAGTAATTACTGACTAAGCACTCGGGAAATGCATTCTTTCGCACACAATGCGAGCCTTGTTATTCGAAATTAGAGTCTGCTCGGCATATTTTATATATTTCAATTATCTTGCTTTTTTTTATTAAAAAAAAAAAATATTCTTTAAGATTATTCTCAATTGATTAAATTTTTCGTGGGTTTTTGTCAATTTATTCATATTACATTAAAATTCTTTTCTGATTTGCTTTTTATTAATTAAGAATAAAATAAGTAATAGTTTTTTCACAATTTATTTATAAAAATCGATTTTTATCTTAACAATTCACTTCAATTACAATTTTAAAGAAACAAATTAGTTTCAGTTTTATTGATTATAATTTCAATTTATTATTAATAGTTT